AAGTAAACGCTCGCTGGTCGTTGAAGTCGATGTGTTGACCGTTCGTCGTGGCCGGACAGCCCGCTCTATCTATAACGTATCAGAAAGAAATTCACTCATGCCACGTCGTTTGCATAATGACGCACTGAAACAAACTGGACTCGTTCGCGCGCTCCGAATGCTACCTCCTTGACGCGTTGGGACCACTTTGTTGCTTGGAGAGCAAGATGCCTCGGTCGTCGTTGCGGAATGCGAGCACGCTGATTCGTTGGCCCTGTTTTAGGTAAGTCGCCCGTCGGAGGTTTTCACGTCGGAGGACGGATGAATTGCGTCGGCCGAGCTAGAGGCTGAAGCACATGCAAATCCGCTGGACACGCGAGATGAGACGAGAATAGGCCCTGGGCGAGATGCGAAGTGTTGATGGGGCTTAAGAAGGTGCAGCTTGCGAGTCTCATTCCTGTGCAAGGACTGGAGGACCGACTTGGCATTAGATCTGCTTTCATTGGCTTGCGGGGACAAAGCGGTGGAATGATGCGCGTGGACCAAAGTCATCCGCTGGCATTCCGGCGATCAGGGTCTTCGAGGGGTGACTACAACTTCGCATTGAGGACTTGATTGATATCGTGAGGACGGTCGTGGGGTGGTAAACTTTCGTAATTGAGCATTCATCATATCTAGGTATCGTACAGCAAATCGAGCGGTAGAGGTTGTTGTACTACAATGCAACCTGACTGTGTCTCATCCTCGAATCTCCCAAAAGCAAATACACTAATCATCGTGGTGGTTGGCGCATTCCTCAAGTAAATGGTTCGGAATCGTCATGTCGCATGCGTTGGGACACCATTCACATGCGCATCACCAGCGCAGCGAAAACTCCCAACGCCATTCCTGGTGTTGACAACCCCCATCTACCTGCACCGGCCTGCATATTCTCGAACGGGCTACCGTTGCCGTTGGCGGGAGGAGGCGGAGGATCTGTCTCTTCCGACCCCGATGCCGACGATGTCTGCGTGAAAGAGGCGCCTGGTGTCGGCACCGGAGCGGAAGGCTGGGCAGAGGGGCTAGGCGACGAGATGGTAGACACGGGCGCGCTACCAGCCACAGTCGACGTGACGATGCTGCCGGTGCTAATCTGCGTCGGGCCCATGACTATAGGCACGATTATCTGCAGCGTGTTGCCGTCGCCATCGGTCGAAGTCTTTGTTATGGTCGTGCTGATTGCGCTGGTCAGATCAGCGCCAGCGTCGTCATGGTCGTCGGTTTGGGTCGCGGTGGTGGGCTTGGGTGCGGCGGGGGCGGGCTTGGTTGTCGGGGCTGCGTGCGTGGGTTTCGGAGGGTCGGCGGTGCTCGACACAGCGGCGTAGGCGTCTTCCACCACCTCAGCAGGTATCGTGCAGCCGATGGCATCGCAGTAGAGTTCTAGTGGTCCGAGGACGAGTTCGATGTCCGATTCGTCGGCTTTGCATGAGGATACGGCGCACGCGACTGCGCTGGAGAGGTACGAGGTGCTGCTTTCGCTCGTCTGACATATGCCTGGGGCCACATCAGTCCGTGATACGGTGAAGTATGATAGTGTTGAACTTACATTTCCTATAACTGCAGCCATCGTCTGTGTTCCCAAAGCAGTCCCGCCAACACTGGGGGAGACTCTGCAGCCACCAGTCGCGATGCGCAGCAACACCCAGCGCGAAGACCTGCGCGAGCAACAGCCATATCCCAATAGACGCCCACATGATCATACAGTTCGTAACGAGCGACGGAGGTGAGTGTAGTGAGGCAAGGACGACCGCCGCCGCAGCCTTAAGGAGACGTCCATCCCTCTGCGCCTACCACTCTCGCGTCTGTACTCGGGCATGTCGCATGGCGAGTGGCGTCTGCACCCTTTCCACATCACCGTCAGCCGGAGCCAACCAGTTGCGTGGCATGGATCGTCGCCGTCATCGTGTTTCCCCCGCTTGTGTTTCAGGTCGGGTGCACATCCAGGCGAGGGGGGAACTCTGCTCGCCTGGCTTCTCACTCTCGTCGCAGACACGCATTGCAACATCATGCCTTATGATCGATTATCACTATTCATGGGGTATCACTGCCGTACGGCCTCTCAACACCCAATCTTTGCGGCGTTCTCGATTGCGACATGATGTGCGTCGAGGCTGGAGGTGGCGACTTCTGCACCGTTGTTTTTACTCGTATCGACAACTCCAGCTGTCAATATTTCGATAAGGCGTCGTTGCGGTGGAGCTGGAGAGTTGATCACTTACCCCATAGTATTTCACCTCACGTACAGCAAGATGTGATACGGGAATACGACATCCCCGGCTAAGCCACCGCTCACAGCATTGTCCCTGACGGTGTGCGCATAGCTGAAGTCAAAAGTAGTCCCACGGGCCGCTTGGTGTCAGTCGTCACAAACGTCCACACCTTCTCGTGAGATGTCGACCGCAATGACTGATCAGGCCTGATATCTGCGACTTCAACAAGCGCCCGCAGCTGGTGTAGAAACAAGGAGAAGAGTCAGTTCTAGGGGTGTGTGCTTCAATTCGCGTAGCAGACATTGCTCATTCGGCAAAAAGCATTTGGTCAATGTCAGCTTTTGGGTACCGGTGTAGCAGTCCACCTCACTATTAATGCAACACCTTCAGGTGCACCTCCACGTCTCCACCACCATAGTGACGTTGCATCATGTTGGGTTTGGCATCATTCGCCCAGTTCTCTGACTGAACATCATTCGTATATCACAAAACCTATATATCTTATCTATTCCTTGATTGCAATTGCTTCAACTTAACCTATTATCCTTAGTCTTCAGCCTCTTCATCACGAAATCCGGAGGCGCCGGTCTAACAGCCCTCTTAAACACCTCTTCCCACAAGTCATCGAGTTTACCTTTCATCTGCACATATTCTTCCTGCCTCACCCAAACAGCATACTCAATCACTCTCAAAAAAGTTCTCTCGCCTCCCAGCAGAGCATGTCTACTCAGCTGAAGTGGCACAGCCCAATGCTCCAAATTCACCCAATCGTGAGCCAGGAACTTGTACGCGGTGTGCACCGCTATCGCAACAAGCGTTGCATCACTCATCTCTGGTCGGTAACATGATCGGGAAGTGGGGTAGGGTATGGGGAGAGTGATAAGTTGACTTCCATCCTCATCTGAGATCGCGTATTCGTACTTGCGCTCGTCTTCACGCTGGGACCTAGAAGAGGTTGCCACGCGATAGCGGAGCAGTAGACATAAAGCGAGGGGGATGGTATCTGGACTAGCGTGATCAGCTTTGTCAAAGTCCATGTTGAGGAATTGGAGAAGGCCTTGGCACACGGTTGTCATGAATTGCGTGGGGCATAGAGAGTCGCTGTTGGGGTTGATGTGTTGGGTTTTGCCGCTGTCCGTTGACGATGGACGGAGCGTAGACTCTACGATGTCGAGTGGGGCATGTAGGATGAATGTGCTGAGACGAGCGAGGAAAGACGATGTGTAAGGCTGGGGCGGAACGAGATAGTGGTTGACGGTGGCAGAAGACGCTTGTGGAGCCATGTCGATCCGGGCATTGGTGTCTTGGTGGTCAAGGCTGTCAGTCAACTACGCGCACATGGGGAAGAGAAAGAGAGTAGAATGAAACGCATTTCTTGAGGGCATACGCGAGTCGTTTTGTGAAACCAGGGTCGTGAATCTGCACTATGCCAATGAATATCATTAATTAAGGTGTATCAAGCCTGCTGGCTGTGACAATGTTCTCACAACACATCTGGGCTCTGTGCTGTCTCAATGTCGCACGAGGGAGCGCTTGCAAGACACCTAATCATGATCAGATCATAACGAGATCGTCGCTACGTTTACTTTCGACATCCAGAGTAGATTTAAGCCGTCAAAAGAAAACGGCATCCTGATCTTCGAGCAACATCTCCCAAACAATCTCGAACCTACCCACAAACTCCTTGAAGTCAGCCTCATGTACCCACGTCCTAAAGTCCAGGTCCTTCAAGAACGCGATCTCAGCGCCTTGAATGTCTGGGTATTGTCTACCCATGACGTCGGCCCACGCCTTCGGCGATACCCTGCTGTCGCAAAGATTCCCGTACGCAGTCTTGATGGCTGCAGCAAGTCTAAGGCTCTCCTCATGCGTCTGCGAGTTGCATACCCCATCGCGCGTCAAAACCCTGAACTTGAGTAGGAGGAAGAGGGCACAGGGAATGACGTCCTTACTCACCGCCCATCTTTGACTTCCGTTTCTTAGCCAGTTTGATACGCGTGCGCACGTTCTGGTCATCAGGTAGCCGGGCTCGATTCGTAGATCGGATGGGTTGATAAGGGCAAGATGTGCTCTGAGGTCGGCTTCAGTTGCGGCGGACATGATGTTGTATAAGAGATCCGGGGGTACACTAGTGATGAAGCCTGCGAGTTTGGTCAAGTCCTCGTCTAGGTAGTATTGCGTGATGTCTGCGGTGGGCACACTGCCTGGGTTTGTGCGCGGGGTGTATGGAGGCGAGGTCCGTATGTTTGACATTCCCTGAAAATGGTAGTGATCTGTCGCTATGTAGTAAGACTGTACAATATGTGAATGAACCCGGAGAAGAGAATCTGTTACGTGCGTTGGGGATTGTCTACTCTACTTAGTACTTTGGAAAGACCTTGTAGCGCCTAAAGTCATTGTATACTGCATCGACTCGCGAACATGCACAGTGCAACCTAGACTCTTCTTTAGTCGAACGAGACGACGATAGTCATTAGCAGAATGGTCAAGCCCGAAACCCATGCCTTTCTTGCTCCTTGTCGCTCGCTGTAGTACCGTGAATCACATCTTCGAGTCCACCATTCACCGGGATCGCTCGCCATCGTGACATCGTTGGCGCATTGACGTTACTCCGGGGCCGTAACTTGGCCTGCAAAGTGCTGGGTTGATAGGCGGTTGTCGGTGCGCCTTGCTCGAAGATGGGGTGAAAGAGCTGTCTGCATCGGGCTAGATCTCCCGGCGCTCCGCAGCTTCTTTCCCCGCATGCTGCACCTGCCCGTCCTCCACTCCCCAATGGCTGTCCCGCTGCCACCCGCTTCCAACCTCCACGCCATCCTCCTCGTCACCAAGTCGCGGTCACTCGGCCCCCGTCTCGTCTTCCATTATCCACCGCTCTCGCCTTCAGCAGCCGCACTCGCCGCCGCGAAAGACCCGGCCTGGTTTCGGCACGACACTTCGACGGCCAGCGTCGATTCGCGCAGTTCCGACAGCGAATGGGACAGCAGCACCGACTCGGACGACGACAATGACATCGAGATAGGCAGTCGCACCAGCGGCGGTCGCGCATCGGGGAGGACCCTGACCGGCCGCGTGAGCGACAAGTCCAAGCTGGGATCGGGGCTATGGGGCAAGCAGGAGACAATCGACGAGGAGGATGCGGATGACGTCAATGACCAGGACGGTAATGGACATCGAGGCAAGGGTGGAGATCACGACTGGGATACCGTGCTGGGCTTCAAGATGGATGCGCTGGAGAAGATGCTGAGCCCGAGCAAAGAATACAACAAGAGGCGCTTCGAGCTTGGCGTTGAGAGCATCGTCTTTCTCGGCGCGCCCATGTTTGTAAGGGACGACGGGCTCTGGAAGAAGGCGAAGCGGAAGAAGAAGAATCGTTCAGATCAACAGAAGCTTGAGGATGGCGATCTGGTCAGGAATCTCACGAGCGCAAGCGACGACGACGCGAACTCCCCCGAACCGTCGAACGAACCCGTCCCAGGATTCGAGCCAGGCTACGGTCACGACTCTATGTCGAGTGGACCGTCGGAGGCTGGATCAGATGCACGCAGCAACTCGACGAGCCTTGACATCAACAACCCCGACATGACCATGTTCAACGTCGTCTTCGTGCTGAACCCGCCTGCGCTGGAATACCAACAACGCGTCAAGGAGATGTACGAGAACGTCACGCGCAAGTATGCCAAAGCACTCAAGTACGAGGAGGCGCGGTTCCAGTACGTGTGGAAGGAATCCAAGCGCATCATCGACATCAAGCAGCGCGCCAAGGAGACGAACGAGTCTTTGACGGCGACATGGCGCAAAATTGTCAGCACGTCACCCCTCGCTAAGTCTATCGCTATCATGTTCGACGCGATCTCGCACGACAAGATAGCCCACATCCACTTCGATGCGACGTTCAACACATCCTTCCAGATCCCACAGGCCGATTCCACTCCCTACCTCCCCACCGCGATCGAACCGCAGATGCCAGGTCTGTGGCTCACGACATCGAACGTCATACTTGAAGACGATGATGCGCCTATGACACAGCATGCCGCCTTGCTGCTTTTGGAGGATGCCGAAGTGCTGATCAAAGACCTGGGCGGTGATACGTGTGGCAACGCCGCAGCCATCGCATTCTACATACGCAACATTATACCCACCAAGTCGCTGCTGAAGATCTCGAAAAAGCATAACATATCCGCGCACGATATGGAGTACATTGCAAGCCATCTTGTCTACTGGCGGCGGGCACGTCTCGTCGCTCCGCTATCGCCACGCGACACATACATCGTCAGTCCAAACGCCGACATGACTGTTCTTCCGGCTGCGATCTCGGTATATGCGCAGCGCTTCCCCACGTTGCCTACGCTGCCTAAAGTACTGAGCATGCTCTCCGGTACACCTCGGCCGTACAGGAACTTCATACCCACCGCCGAACATCGCGAAGCGTACATGGAGATACTGGCTTGGCTCATGCGCGGCGGCTGGGTCACGCAGCTGCGCACATTCGCCTGGGTGCGCGTAACGCCTGAGATCAAAGCGCAAGTCGCAGCAGAGATGGAGCGCGAAGAGCGCATCAAGAAAGCTGAAGAGGCGCGCAGAGAGTTGATGAGCGACAACGATTCGGTGGCGGATAGTCTCCTCTCCGACAAGCGAAGCAGCTTGCTTTCCCTCAACTCTGCGAGGACCTCATCGCCTTTGCGCCGCACGCGCAGGGATGCGGACGAGGAGATGGAGAGCAGCACGATACTGAGTCCACGACTCGGATCGACCGCCATGTCGCGTAGCGTTTCTGCGCGGACGAGTTCGGACGCCGGGAGTACGAGCAGTCAACGCACAACGATTGCGCTTACGCCGTCACAGAGAGCAGAGTCGCCATCTCATCTTGGGCTTCGAGATGTAAAGCCCCATCGCCCGTCGCCTCTACATCTCAAGCCAACCTCCCCATCTCCATCGCGCAACTCGATAGTCTCACCCACTTCCCCGGTAGAGAAGCTGGCCCCACCAGACCCATCGTCCTTCGCACCCACCACCATTCTATCGCCACAGAAAGCGTCGTCGATAGAAGCGCGGTGGCTCGATAAGATTGCCCAGACATTCGAAGAGACGGCGATCATCTCGACGAATCCCAGTCCGCCGAAACACGCAGATGGCGCGCTGGGTGGCATAACCGGTAAAGAGCTGCGAGAGAGCTGGCCGATGCTGCTCAGGCATCTGGATGGTAAGCATGCGATCGAGGATGTGTCGGCTAGAGAGGGCATCAAGCGGAAGCGGGTCGCGGTGCTGTTCAATGCGGTCAAGGAGAGAGGCTGGCTGGTTATTGCGCGGCATTGGTGAGTTGGTGGTGATGTTTGATTCGATACCCGTGTGTTGGTTGGTTCTGAACCGTAGTTCTCTCAACCCACTTCTTTCAAAGACAAGAGCCAACACCCCAAGAGCCTACGTTGAGGTGAGGCTGGCTACTTCGCGCGTTTTTATCTTGATGTAGGCTGCAGGCCACCTCAGTTTAAAGAAAAGAGTAGACACCCTGGAGCCTACGTTGACGTTGGCGTATCTACTTTGCATGATTTTAACTCGATGTAGGCTGCAAGTCTCACTACTTTGTTCCTTGCATAATGCGAACCCTCTGGCTCTTTCGCGCAACACCACGCTAGCTTGAACCATAGTTCTAAGATTTATATCCCCCGGTATCATTAGTACTGCGCGAATACCCATAGTCGAGCCTCAAGTACTTCCCTTTGGAAGCAACACCACGCAAAGCTTAACCATGGCTTGACTTTTGTGGAAGTTTCTGCTGCTATGCGAATACTTTATATAAAACACATCCTTTCTCTCTCTTCTCTCTTACTATTTTACCATCTACGAAAGCAAAGTCTACTCCACAACAGCTTTCCGCACCACCACCAAGTCAAACCAAACCACTTCCCAACTAAACCAAACTAAACTACCAAAATGCGTGGCCTCTTCATCGCCTTCCCCCTGGTCCTAGCCTCCGTTGCCGTCGCCGGCCCCATTTCGATCCCGACACCCGCGGCGCCGTCAACGCCTGACTTTACGGCGATGCCGCGCATGACCGCCGCCTCAGTTGTCGTCGCCGTTCCTCCTGCCCCTACCACCACTGCCGCCCCCGTCGTCACCGCCCACACGACGCTCATAACCATAGCATCCGAGCTCGAGCCCCGCAAGCACAAGCACCACCACAACAACCACCACCAGCATGACAAAGACCACTACGGCTACGGCGGCTGTTCCGAGTACTGGGACGGGCGGTTGATTACGAATTGTCCAAGTGTTATTGCTACCACGTACGTTCTTCCCTCTCATCCACCTCCCATCCAAGCCGAAATAGGTTTTGTTCTTTAGGTTTTGGTCATTGGATTTAGAAGCTAATGAGATATTGTAGGTTGGACTACCATGGTACGCATCCGCTTATCACGTTGGAGGGGGGCAGGCCTGAATACTGATTGCGAAGGCAAGTATGGGGGGTATGAGAGTTGGAATGGGCGGCATGGGGGGAAGAAGACTATGGTGTGAGAGTGGGGTTGGGGGGACTTTGGTCACGGTTATGGGTATAGGGGTTATGGAGAAGAGCGTTTGCGATTGGGTTTGGGGGAGATGATGGATGGCGGTCGCCGTGTTGGTCTGCGGAGGATGCGGGGATATTTCCACAGAGTTTAGTCATTCTTCTAGCGGGATTAACTAGTACTCACGATCAATTGTCGCATTGTAACAGCACGTTCAGCACAACTAAAAGCTAGACGTACGATCAAGATGACATTACGTTCACAAACGACCACCGCTATGCAAAGACACCCACGTATAAAACTCGCGTCTACATCCCACCGCACAACAATCATCTACGACGCAGTAACAAGCACATAACTCGTGATGGCATCCATCCTCTCCTTGGTCAACTTCAGGCCCACCTTCAGCAACTCAGTAGCAACCTCTTGATCCTTCCTCTCCAACTCGTTATACTTCTCTCTTGTAAGTAGCCAAGCAACAGAGTCGTTCTCCGCGGCCACCGTGCCCGTGCGATCAGTCTCGGAGAAGAATGGAAGCTCGCCGCACGTGGTACCCGGTAAGATGACTTCGAAGAAACTGCCTTGGTCGAGCTCGTATTCTGTCCGCAGACGGCCTTTCTCTAGAATGTAGAAACCATCTGGATCGTCGCCGCGGGAGTAGAGGACAGTGCCGGCGGGGTACTCTTTGCGCTCGAAGTAGGGTGCGACGGCTTGCCAGAAGTCTTCGTTCTTGGTAGAGACATCTTCGAAGGTTTGGAGAATGATCTTGAGTGGTTGGGCGAAGTTGCGCCAGCGCGAAGGAGCGACTTGTGTGGTTTGGGTGGTGCTTAGCGAGGTAGTGTCGGGAATGGAAAGAGAGTCTTCGCCGCTTTCGCGCATAGTAGATCGAGCTGCGATGAGTCTGGCACCGCGCCGGGGCGAGGAGAAGACGGGGTTGAGGGAGCTGGCACCGAAGGATGTAGGTGTGCCACCAGTAGCGATCGGTTCGTTGGGGGAAGCGCCCTTGGATCCGGAGATGCTCATTGGCGGTGTAGTTTGTGGCTTCGTCGCATGTCGGTTCCAGTGCTTGTGGAACACCTCTAGCAACTCGTTCTCGCAAGACTCAAGCGCGGTGTTCAGGTCTTCGAAGACCTGAGGCGGAGGGCACTCCTCATCGCCGTCTTCGTCTAGAAGACCGACGTTCTGCAGGGCTCGACCAACTGGATCGGCGAAAGAGACTCCGGAGATGATCATCTTAACGTTCTTGGTGTTCAGGATACGGTTGATGCGCTGGAAACCTTCGGAGCTGGAAAAGTCAACGTCCAAGACGTGCGTAAAGTCGACGATGATGAAGCTGATAGGGTTCTTCTCGAAATGGTCGTCGTCAATCAAAGATCGCATGTACTCTTCCACGGAAACGATAGTTCCAAAGAACAAGAACCCGCCGAGCTTGATGGCGCGGATCTGACCTCGGACTTTGTTGAGATAACGAGAGTCTGATCGTGGGCGACGAACAGTGGACTCTGCGATCATGCCGCTGTATGTCCCTCGGATGGCGGAATGACGAGAGCTTTGAACCACGTAACTCACGCATGCAAGAACAATGCCGACGAAGATGCCGACAACGAAGTCGTGTACGCCCATGATGAGTACGATGGCCAGGATGGTCAGGTATTCGAGCTTATGGCATTTGCCAAAGGTATCCCAGAGAGCTTCCTTCATGAGGTCGATACCCAGGAGGAAGATGAGTGCGCCGACGAGGCAGATCGGGATGTAGCCGACCATGGCTGGGCCCGCGACCCAGACAGCGGTTGTTGCAAAGGCGAGCATGATGCCTGCAGTCCGGCTGTTGCCACCGTTGTCGACGAACATGACGCTGTTGGCGTAAACGAGGTAGTTCTAAGACTCTGTTAGTGATGGACGGTAACAGTTGGTGATTGGTCCTACCTGGATACTACCTAAGCAACCAGAGAGGGTGTTCGAGATGCCGTGAGCGATCAGTTCTCGGTTGACGTCGAGATTATCCTCCCGCACCGCAGCACCGAGAGCGGGGACGTTGATGGGAACGTGAATTATACCAAAGAATGAAAGGGCGAACATGGTGGGGATAGTGCTGACAAGCGCCGCTCCATCTATGCTGCCGAATTTGAAGTAAGAGTAGAATCGGTAAAATTTGACACCAGCTTCGGGCGTCTCGAAGATCCAACCTGCGTTGCGCACAGGCTCAAGATCCTTGTGCATGATACCCTTGACAATGATGTAGAAGACTGCAAATACGGTAATGAAGAAAGCGGGCAGAACGAAGGGGCTCTTGGACAGACGCCGGAGGACCATGATGGTGATTGCAAGGGCAAGCGGTAGTGTCCATAGGTACCAGGTGTCGCCGGAGAAGAGCTTCTGCAGGGTAGCAAGGTCGTAGTTGAGGTTACCCTCGAGGCGAGCTGAAACCTCAATGCCAGTGACAACCAGGAAGAAACCAACACCTCCGATGCAGCCGATCAGGATGTGTCTTGGGAAGAAGCTGACGAGATTGCCTAGCTTGAAAGCTCCGAGGGCGAGGAAGATGAGACCAGTCAGGATGGAACTCAGACAGTAGGAAACAATGGTGGTGGCTATGATGGCCTCCGGTGGTTTGCCCTCCATCTGGTTCATGATGGAGTAGGCCATCTTGTGGAAGAAGGGCACTACCTCAATCATCTCGGAACCAACACCTCCTTTGAACACGGAAAGTCCCAAAGAGTAGCAGAGTTGGGAAACAATACAGCTCACAAAGAAGATGGAAATACCATCCGGGCCGGTGTTGCTAAAGATGGGCGCACCGAGCGGGAACAGAATGTAGCCATAGGACAGCGCATCCAGGAGGTTGAGAAGCAGACCGAGGAATACGGCCGACGTGATCTGAACACTGCTGAGAGCGCTCGAGATGAGAGCATCCTTGGTATAGTTCTTGGGGTTGGTTAGAGACGCGCTCACGTCCAGCAGGTGTCCCCGTCCAGCAGCGAATGTTTGTTTGACGCGTTGAGGCAGGCGCGACTTGGAGTGTGGTGTCCACGAGTGGCTCTCGGAGGGCTTCTGCTTTTGTTGCGGGTCCGGACGCGATAGCCTTGTCTGGGGCAGCAGAGGAGTGCGCTCGGTATCCTCGACAACTACACCCGGCACGTGTGAGCTGCCTGGTGTCTTCTTCGCGTTCTGTGACGTCGCTCCCGGCAGCTTAGGGCTGAAGAAGCCCTTATCAGCCTGTTGTGGCCCGATAACGGTATCGGGCGTCTCGGCTTCGCTGTCCTCCTCAATGGTGTCGGTCCAGCGACCCGTGTCTATTGAAGCGCGCCCCTCGTCGTTATCGGACAGTATGCCCGCATGTCTCCCAGAGAAGGTGTCGGGGTCAGCGAAGCTGTGGCGCTGGGGTCTGTCCTGGTAGTCTTCGGCTTCGAGGGCATACGAGGCCAATTGGGAGCTTCTCTCCCGCACGCCTTGGGACGAGTACTGAGGGGTATCTACGCGGCAGTCAGTGGCTGCCCATAGATGAGGCTTGGGGTAGGTACCGGCAAACCCGTGGGAGGTCTGATGCGCGAAGGAGCGGATGGGATTGCGCGTGTAGGAGCCAGAGAGAGGGCCCCCAGCGATTGAATTCCCTCTTATCCGGCGTGGGAGGGACTGGCTGCCCTGCTCGGCGTGCGAGGCATCGTGGGCGAAGTCGGCTTCGTTGACGGCGTCGCTGGTGAAGGGAAGCTGCTGCTCTGCTTGCGGCGAGTCGCGCGAGAACAGACGGGACGGCATGGCGCCTGATTAGGAATATCTAGGTAACGTCTAACGTTCAAAACTCAGCGACGCATC